CCCCAAAACCCCAAAACCCCAAAACCCCTCTTAACGAAATTTAGTCTAGTAAGAATGATTGATTTTTGTAATTAATTTGCATTAGGATGGTTTGAGTAAATTTATTATTCCTGTCATTATTTATTCATCTTGTAACTAATACTTGCTTTGAGATCAAAGTGATTTTTAATTTTTCAAAAATTTCCTACTTCGGTTTCCCTAAGCAGGATTCCCAGAATCTGTATTTCCATCTAGTTTGAAATATTCATCTAGCCTCATTGATGTATCCAAATTTGCCAATTCAAGTTTAACCGCTAGGTATTTACTAATAAAGTAAACATATGCATTGCCTGTTATCATAGGAGTAAGAGTTCTAAAAATCAAGATAACCCAGTAGGGATTGTTTTTAGAGATTAGATAGAATATGTTGGTAAATAAGAAGCCTCCTGGGAGAGTCACTAAGATTCTAATTATAGTTATCTTGAAAGATGTTCGATGGAACTAGATATATCTGTTTGTCTCTGAGAAATGTTACTCTAAACAGATTCCAATATAGGTGCCAATGATTAAGATAGATATGTTGAATTTTTCAAAGTTTTAGAGTTCAGGGTCCACGTGAAGGTCTACGTTTTCGCAGTTCTTCATGATGTTATCTAGCCAAATCTGAGGGGTGGGATGATTTGTTGAACCATAGAAATAGAGGGATACAGCAATACTGTAGAATACTATATAGGACTGAGTCAATTGATTCCAAATTAGCTACGGCAGTGATTTATGCTTTATACTGTAGATAAATTAATAGATCTCTGGCTACAGTAAGTAGCAAGCAATATAATATATTAGAAATCCCCAAACATAGCCAGTCAATACTTAGTTATAAGTGTGAACTCCATTGTAAATTCTTCCGAAGCCGATAAACAGTATCAAGAAAGTATAAATAGACCATATAGTTTTGGAGTGCTTTCTCAATATTTAATATTCTTTCAAACTCATATCAACTAATGTAGCATAAAGAGCAGTAACAATAAATGCATGGCCGGAGGGATCACCATGCTCCAGTCTGCACTTATATGGTTATAAATCATGCACAAAAAATGGCCTTGGTTCGTTATTAAAACTCTTAAGCATGCATATTAAACCTTGACTTACTGCTATCACTAGTGATACTGTAAAGCTTCTCGGTAAATCAAGAACTTGATAATTGATAAGGACTACAACACCAATTCCATACTTGTCTCCCAATTCACTAAAAGCTTAGCAGATAAAATCAAAGGTGGGACTTGGAAAATTCTCTCTCATGTACTTAGCATGAGTAATGCTGACATTGAAAAGCAGATCTCTCAATATCAAGTTTTCAAAAACTAGATACATTATCATATAGATGAGTAAGAACCTAGCTTTGGTAACTCTGTTAACATAGCTTTCATTTTTAGCATTTTAAGAGTGATTTCCTCCTCTATGAGTTACCCTATTGCGCTATATCTGTCCTTCGCAGGAATTTTCAATGAAAGAAGTCATAAATTTTAATAATAGGTAATTAACTTGAAGTATAATGCTACATAATTTAATACCAACATAGTATATATACAATTATAAATTATCTGCTTATAATATCAAATTTGAATAAAGGGGTTTTGGGGTTTTGGGGTTTTG